TTTAAGGGTAATGTCTTCGACTAGATACGATTTGTGATCTTTTGACGTATCATTGAAAGAAATCGGTTCGGTGAGAGCTGAGAAAAAGTGGTAACAGACACAAAAAAAAAAAAAACATCTTAGTAAAACCAATACCTTCTCAGCTTCGCATCGAAGCTAAAATATAAAAAATTTCGAAAATTAGCGATTTTTAAATTTGTAATTTTTTTGGAGGTTTCCCGCATTTACGGGGAACGAGGGAATTTTTTTCAATTTTTAAGGGTAATGTCTTCGACTAGATACGATTTGTGATCTGTTGACGTATCGTTGAAAGAAATCCGTTCGGTGAGAGCTAAGAAAAAGTGGTATCAGACACAAAAAAAAAAAAAAATAATGTTTTTTAATAATCCGTTTTTCATTCGACATACTTTATCTTAATCAGGATATTAATAAGGAACTAGCAGATCACGTTGCTTTTGGTATAATCCACCAATTTTTTAAAATTAAACACTATCTAAAGATTTGCATCGAAGCGTTTTTTTTTTTATATTTTATGACACTATTCCTTTAAAGGTTAAGTAGTGCCATTTATTGTACGTCATGCTATCATATATATTTCAAGCGACATGAACTTGGACGACGAGTTCTAGTCGATAGTTTGGAGCAAAAGACTAGACTAATATCAAGGAGTATTTCTGTCAATTTGGAAAAGTAATCACTCTATGTGTTTTTTGAGGTAGAAGCTTCTCAGAACCTCCTGTGGGATCTATTTATATTGACGCTATGTGACTTCTAAATGAAAAAAAATCCGAAAATAAACACGCTAAGTATAATATTTCCCCACAAGAGCAAATTTTTTTTTTCGATACCGTATGTGCATATTTTTTGAACTACGGGCAGTTATTGTCGTTAAACAAACACAATAATTAGGGTTTGTTGAAAATTCTTATAAAGGCATTTATGGAAGGAACCGAATTACGATGCCTTAAAAATCAAGATATTTAACGAATTACTAGAGGGTGATACCTGTAGAGTACACGTAATATTTAAAGCAGATCAAGCGATTCAAGGACCAATAGTTATACATTAGCTGGTGTTGCACTTGCTGGCGCTGGTATTTCAAGATAATATTTTGTTTATTGAACGTAAAATACGATTGAGAAACTTATCTTGAGTGATTGAGAAAATGCAATTTCGTACAGAGTAAGGTGAGGCTTAAAATCAGTAGTACGTAATCATAATATCATAATCATATAGAAATCTTGCCATTTCAGGACGATTTTAACAGTCGATTTTTTTCACCGATAAAACGCGTAGTATATAAATATTATTTATTGAGACTAATTTAATTATACCATTTTCTACGTTTATTTTATCAAAAGTAGTGGACACCATTGGAGCAGTAGCATCATTTTTATATAGTCTGTTCACGAACGTTGTGTCAACATTAAGTCCAACTACAGCTACAACTTAAAAATAAAATAATACTATGTGCTGCTTCATCATTTCAAGGAATTTCTAATTCCATATAAAATTAACCGAAAAATTTGATGATATATTAAACATTAATCAAAACGTAAGTTATTAGATAAATTATAATAAAATATTACAAATTACAAACTGTAATATTTTTGATGATTAATATATTTAGGTGAATTAAATAATGCAGTTGAGTGATATCGATTTACTAAAAGCTGTAGTAGTCTTCGTTAAAATATAGAATCGTAGATATTCTTTGATTTTTATGTTTTATTAGCAATTAAAATTGTATGTTACCTAGATAATTTTAATTAAGTAATAAATTAGTAGAAATAAAATGCTTTACCAAAATATTATTTTCTGTTAGTAAAATTAAAAAAAAATAATCTATTTTTTATAAATAACCTTTGTGGTTATTCTCTTCGTGACTTTTCATAAAAAAATGATTATTCCATTTTTATAAAATATGAGTCAAAACAGGATGTAATTAATACAACAAAAGTTTCTTAGTATAACAATTGTATATAATAAAACTCCTGTTGTGGCTTTGCTATAATTTTTATTATTATTCAGTTTTCTAATTAATAACAAAGATTTCCCAATTTATTAAAAATTTATCTCCAATAGAAATAATTCATCATATTTTAAAAGTTTAATTGTATTCATAATTATAGTACCTAATTTAAAGTGTATAAATAGTTCAAACATCAAATGGTAACTCTAGAAATTTGATTAAAAAAACGGTAGCACAGTGAGGTTGCGGCATAGTGGAGACATTGCATAGTAGGGTCCAGTATAGATTTAATCTGACAGTGATTAAAATCACTATCATAAGAAACGCTTCGATGCAAATCTGTAGATAGTGTTTAATTTTAAAAAATTGATGGATAATTGCAAAAGCAACATCAACTTCTATTAAAATAAAATACAAAACCCATAATTATCATACAAAAATAGTATATTTTTCAATATGGTAGCCATTTGCGTATAGAAGATAGATCGTCGGGACAAATTTTTTTTTTTCATTTTGTAGTACATAAAATAAGCTTTAATTTTATATATGTTTAAAGGACGCAGTATTTCCGGAACATTTTCAAAAATTAAGTTGAAAAAGTTATTTTTTGTAAAAAAGTTACTATTTTAAATCCTCCCAGTGAGCAGAATAAGTGTTAGATTTTCAAAAAAAATTATATCAAATGAAAGGGAAATATCTAAGGTTTCAATACAAAAAAATATTATTTTCATTTGTTCATTTTTGAAAAAGTTATGGCAGTTTTAAGTACAAAAAACATCCCGATAAAATGTAATTTTTATCGCAAACATTACATTTTTTTTTAAATTTTCGACAGCCATTTGCACATAGAAGATAAGATGTCGGGACAAATTTTTTTTTTTCATTTGATAGTATATAACATAACCTTTGATTTGATATATGTTTAAAGGACGCAGTATTTCCGGAACATTTTCAAAAGTTCAGTTGAAAAAGATCTATGTTTATCTAGATTGTATTTATAGTCTTTGTATCCATTATAATTTTAATTACAAGTTACGTTAAAAACGAGATTTTCACTATGTCTCAGTATATAATAATAACAGCACATGTCAATACAACATACATTTATTTTAAACAATTTTTTTTTTTTTTTTTTAAATTATATACATGTTTTAGATACTTGTCGACGGATAGCTATTACTAACAACTACTGTTGGTATTTCTTGGTTGTTTGTACTTGATGGTATGATTGTTTCCGACTGTATATCTTCGGCCAGCGACCCAAAAAATGTCGAGCATACGTTTTCTCCGTTAGAAGACTGAAAAAAAAAAATGAAATATATTTATTAATTACGTTCTACTCAGTTAGAAAAAAAAAAAAATGTAATTCACCATTTCTTTAGTATATTCTTCCAGCATCGTCCACCGTTGTTCCAACTGCTGGCTCGCAAATTGTTTTATTTGGCTTATGTAGCTCAGATCGCTATTGGGTAAACTATTTCTAATCGTATAATCCGAAACCGCATTGATCAACATACATTTGTTTTCCACATTTACTTCATACTGAGATTTCATATATTGAGCCATCTGTTCCAACTGTTGTAGAACCAATGGTTGAATTACAGTCATCTTTTGATTGATAGTCTCAAAGATACAACATTCCAATGCGCTGAGTTTTAAAATGTCTGATTGGATGAGTAACACTCGGCATTCATCTTGTGCTTGCGATTCAAAGACTAGCGAAGACTCTCCTTGAAACGTAGTCTTTGAGAGTGTGACGTATTCATCCTTGAGTAAAATAATCTTTTGTCTTGATACAGGGTCGAAAATTAGCGACAGAATATTACCCATCAACGTATAAATCCGTTGTAGGAAATCTATCGTTATAAGTATGTAACGGGTTGACGATAGTAAACGAATAGTTACGTTAAATCGATCTTTTGGATCCAATCCTATCTGAACGAATTTACGAGGATTGAAATTCAAAACGTAATCAGTGCAATCGATTAATTCACTGTGAGGTTGGGGTTTAGCAAATGTTTGTTTGTTATAGAATTTGGCAATTGTAGCGAGAGAACCAGCCATTCTTAAAGTATACAAATATCGACTTAACACATTACCAACAAGTTAAAGTAACGTCTGTTTATATAGAAAATCTTATAACGATTAGAGCGCTATGCTTACACCACGGTGAAGTTATTAACTAATTTAAACCCAATAGTAATTAATAGTCAAATTTTCGTCGTTAGATATGATACAAACAGTTGTAAACACAAGCAGATGGGGTTCAAACAGGGTGAACAGGGATTTGAACGCGTTCAGACAGGTTTTAACATGTTCAGACTTGTTGAATCGAGATTATACGATTCCAGGACACGCTGTTCGGTAAACCGACACAGTGTCCCTACTACTTTTATAAACAGCCTACTACATGCCATACATAGTACAACCTGCTACAAATACCATAGCGTATAGTAAATTTGCTATTTAATGTGTAAAACTCTTCTTTGCACTGCTTAGTACTATAGACTTTTATTATACACAAAGGCATAAAGTTTAAATAAATATGACAAAATTGTATAAAATAAAAAAAATAGTATATATTATTGAATTTTAAATCTTACAAGTTTATGATACTAAGTTTTTTTAATTTTTTTATATAAATAAGTTTAAAAAACAAGGAAAAATATTAACAAATNTAAGTTTTTTTTATTTTTTTTTATATAAATAAGTTTAAAAAACAAGGCAAAATATTAACAAATTACTGAAAATCAAACAAATATGCATTTCCACTTTTGCCTCTATATAATAAATGTAATTTGTTGTCATCATTGTTGATATTGTAAGCTTCGATTTCTTCATTAGTTAATTTCAATCTCGGGATAAACACATTCATATTATTGAATAGACAACCAACAACGACAACCCCATTTCGTGTGCTTGTATTTTTCATAGATATTACTTTGTATGGCGTGTTTTCCTCCAAATCACTTAATTTTGAATATCTTTTTAATGCACTCTGATCGTTCAACTGTTNAAATGTACTCTGATCGTTCAACTGTTTCTTTAATTGCTCCATTCTAAAACAAAAAATTAATAAATATTTAACAACTCTAAACATAACTAGTAACCAAAGTCAGTGGAAAACAGTTTAAATGAAAAATATATATAAATGTATTACTTACTTTATTTTATATCAAAAGTCTTAGAAATTCTTTAGGACAACAAATAGAAATAAACAAGCAAATGGTTTTTGGTATAATCGCTTTGGAAAAGATAATGAGTGAATGATCCTGAACTTGATGTGACGTTCTTTNTCCTTAATTTGATGTGACGTTCTTTTATAGTGGTCAAAGATCTTGTTTAGACAAGTTTTGGTTGGTTTAAACAGGTACAACACAAACAATGTCGGAAATATGCTTACCTAAGCGTCTGGTAGACGGTAATAAAATTCCATAACGACAAACGTTGCCATTGTTCTCATAAAACGCGTAGGCGTGAAAAAAGACAACGTTGCCATTTTTCTCATAAAATGCATACGGCAGTGACCATTAATATNACATTAATATATTGTATCATCTTTGGAAATATGCTGACCTAAGCGTCTGGCATCCGATGATAAGATTCATACAACAATAACCATTACTGTAGGGTGACCTCTTTGATGTTTGAAATATGCTTAGCTAAGCGTCTGGTAACCAATGATAAAATTC